TGCCTGCCCCCCCTCTCTCTGCCCTCCCTCCCTCCCTTGTCCCGGGCCGTCTCCCTCCATCCCTCCGTCCATGCACCCACCACCATGCCAGGGTCCCCGTCCTCATTCCTCCCTTCCTCCCTCCCTCTTCCCTTTCTTTCCCTCCTTCTCGTGCTCCCAGATACGTGCTCCGGGAGTTCGACTCTCTGAAAACGCTCCCCAAGGAGGCGATCTTCGAATCTCGCTTTAAATGGGGGCCGCTTCCAGCCTGGGGCCGAGGAAGGGAGGGAGGGAGGGCGGGGCGGAGGATGCATCCCCGCTTTGTGACACCGGACGGGAAGGCAGTTGAGGAGGAGGAGGGAGAGATGGGGGACGGTCGGGAGGAGAGGGAGGAGGAGGAAGGGGAGGAAGACAAGAGGGGGGAGTGGAGGACGGCATTTTCGGAGCAAGGACGGATGTACTATTGGAATGTAAGGACGCGGGTGTCTACGTATGAGAAACCCTACTAGAGAGAGAGTAATGGTGGGCGTCAACATAGAAGAACGATGTCACCCGGGCGAGCGCGCTTGGCGGCAGAAAGACAGCAAGGGGAAAAAGAAGAAAAAAAAAGGAGCGAAAGAAGAAAAGACAGGCCCACGCTGAAGATGCATGTGAGGGGAAGCGTTCGTATAATGGTTTTTTGATCGAAAGATGCCGTACGAAGACGTTCTCCCTAGACGTGTCACGGAAATGGAATTACACACCATTTATTTAATCAAGCCGGATCCGTCCTTGCGCTACCCCGCATAAAATGTGCTGGATGCCACATGCAGATGACGTCGCATAGAATTCCATCAAAAGCGCTTACGTGGAGCTCGGATTTTTGTTCTTGGTAAATTTTCTTACTTTCGCCATCGATTGTCGAATTTGTTGACATTGTTCGTTTGCACGCAAGCCTCCGTGGTCCATTGCTACTTCAACGAAGTATGCATTCATATGTGTTGCTGGGCTCGAGGTCTATCTCCTTACTCCACCTGATAAACACAACAAATTTAATCCTAACCTTCGTTCTACGACCAATATTATTGTAAACAAGTGTTTCCTCTCTTCGTCGTAAAATGGACGGCTTTCATTCTTCAGTTTGGGGGGGGTCGGCTCGGCGTTGATCGCTTGTTTTTGACTCGCGCCCTTCCCGCCACTTTGATCCCATGACTTTTGGCAGGCGAGTTTATGTCGTGCTGGTGAGCACGTACCGGCCCCCCAAGGGAGGGATGAAACTTTCTTGCGTGTTTGGTTTTGTGCCTTAGGCACTTGATAAGCATGTTTGCTGTCTGATGCGCAACTGGCTCCGTGGAGGCAATATGTCCATTGGGTTGATTGCATGCCTTGGGAAAATGTTTCCTTGGGGGTAGAATCTCCACTGCAGCACAGTGCACAAAGTGAGCAATGCACGTGCATGCTGTGGAACGCACAGTTGCGCGCTGTCAGAGCCTGGACATTCCCACCCCTTCCCGAAGATGGTGTACGGCCCCTGTTTGGGAAGTATTATCCCTCTCATACCATTCAGGCATCTGAGACTAAGCGCTCGTACCAATCTTTCAATATTTCAGCTCCACATAACTTGATTAAAGGAATGGCTTCTAGGGCACTGCTAGTTTGTCACTCCTTTTGCCTCCTACGCCCTTGTCTTTCATTTCTCTGACCAGTCTCCACATCGTGACACGCGCCACTCCATCTTGGCGTTCGCAGTCGGTCGCAGCTTTAATCTTATCTTTCCGTGTGGTGATCGATCCAACATTTGAAAAGTAATTTTCCAAGTCCTCGAAACAATTCAAACATGCGCCAGCGGTACAATCTGGAGGTAAATGATGTCCATGTCAACTTAACTGCAAATTGTAGCTGATATTCTGGGTTAGCACTCACTTTCACTGCCCCTTTCTTCCCTCCTGGGATAGAGCCTCCAGCAATATGCCGCCGCTGCGTTCAACACCGCCACCG